TAATATTCCCAACCATTAGTTCTACTCTTAGGGCACAGGAATGGGGAAGCAGAACAATATCTGAAATATCTTATGACTTCCTATTTTCCCACAAGCTAAGAAAACCTAGTTCCAGTGAGTAGAGTGGTAGCGGGCATGGCAAAAAGAGGTAGATCAAGAGGGTTGATCAAAGACATACAATAAAGAAAGGATAAATAGGACTTGGTAACAGAATGGTACAAAATAATTTGTAAAGGAAAAGGCAATGGAAAAATTGCAAACTCAATGATTCTCAGCCTGCCTGACCCACAGGGAAAAGAGTTCTATCATTAACAGAAATGAAAAAGTCCAGAAGGTTCAATTCCTTTTATGCTGCACTTCAACGAACAGAACAGTCAGGTGGAAATATCCCAAGAAATGTATTTGGAGTCATCACTAAAAAGTTGAACCTTTAAGAAAGAATGCAGTTTTGAGAGAAGCAAGCAGAGGGGAGACGCGGTGCTGAACCATGATGTGCTCCCTCTGAGTCAGCAGAGCTGGGGAGAGAAGCAGCAGGTGCGTTGCCTGTGGCAAATGCCAATCAGGGAAATCGTTTTAAAGACATGCAAGTAATAAGGGCTGTAAAATCTGGCAGGAAAGCAAATGTGAATAAAGACAGGGAAAATGCCATGATTTGGGTAAGAAAAAGATCATTGCTAACTTGAAGGAAAAGTATTCCAATAGTGTCATGGGAACAGAACTGAGATGAAAGAGAATTTTAGAGGAATGAGGGTGAGCAACTGATGAGCTAAGGAGAAGCTGTGAACATTTATAGAAAATTCCAGGAAGTAAAAGCCATCGATGTTTTGTAACCATTGTAGTGTTTCTCAATGGAACCTAAATTGCACTAACAATGCAGCAGTGATAGATCAGAGGTTCTAGTAGTGGCCATATGGCTGCGATGACATTGTTTCAGCTACATTTTGTTTTGTTTTGTTTTGTTTTGTTTTTTAAAGCAAATCTGCAGAACTTTAAATTCTTGATGTCCACACTTTTCTGAGGAAGGCCCACAATTGTCTGAACTAAAAAACAATACACATCTGTCTGAGTGCTTTCTGTTTCAACTAAAAATGATAGTAATAAATGGGAATCTGAACCAGACAACCTAGTAAGGCTCTTTCCAGCACAGAGAATGATTCCATGAGTTTATCCATATCTGAGTCAAAACTCAGAAACAAAGCCCATGGCGATCATCTTTATTGGTAATACATTCAAGTGCAAGGTACTCCAGAAAAAGAGAGAATACCAGAGTTGAAACCGCATGCTTCATAGTGCAACACTTAATAGTCAGAGTTTCAGGCTATTGAAGGTGCATACATGGTGAAAGGTCTCTTGGGAAGACTCAGAATCCAGCTCAGTCTATGATATAACATGCTTATTTAGCCTCTCACAGTGTATACTTTCGTGTAAATATGTATGGTAGATGGACCGATTTATACTTCTTGTTCACTAATGAACTCATGGAGGTCCAGTCACCTTAACACACTAGTAATGCTCAATTTAAACCAAAATATCTTCTTCGAATTGTAAAACAAATGTTTGTTTCTAATGCGCCTCTTTTAATAGATGAAGTAAATTAAACATTCATTCCAACAAAATTTGCCTTTTGCTGTTGTTATGGTTATTTATATTGATATGCTAGCATTCATCAAACTTTGTTGAACAGAAAAGTTTAAAACAGCAACATAATTCTAGTAAAAAGCAAAGGTATGGCCAAACTCTGTGAAGACAGTAACCTACACAGAACCTAGAAAGATTACTAGTATTAGAAGGGATACTTCCAGGAGCATAGCTCCACATTCAGTTAAAAAGAAGGCCTATTACAATATCTCCAACTGAAGGAAAATTGCCATTATTTTGCCCTTTTGTTTTGCTTTTAATTAAAAATTGGTTTACAAGAAATGAGCCTTCTTTCTTAAAAATATATATCTTTTCATGAGTGTTAGAAAATATACAACACACACACACACACATACACACACACACTGCCTGGTGATACTTAAGAAGAAAACTGAATAAAAAGCTATACTAGAACCCTTGGAAATACAAAGATCTCATTAAAATATCCAGAAGGAGACTTCATATCTGCACTGAAATAATAAAGTAACTACATAATTGTATTTATAAAATAAGTTTTCTCAATTTATATCATAGAAAAATACCATCGTTTAATTATTTACATCATAACATTTTGGAAGTTTGCTCTTTAAAATTCCTACAGAGCATCTAGGTCAATCTGAAAAGATGCTAGAAATATATTTAAAATAATTTCCCACTATATTTTCCTTCTGAAAAACCACTCTTGAATTCAAACAGCTTCAGCTGGTTGAAATGGTGAAATACCGTTGTGCTTTTCAAAAATCACATTTCATAAAGGGCATTTATTCTATAGAATTAAAGTTTATTGAATAATAAATATAACTTTAAATGATGCAAGCTGTTAAAACCCTTGAATGTCAAAGTTAAAGCAGATAGCCCTGCATGATTTTTGCTACTTCGGAGAAGGAAAAGAAGCAGAATGAGAATAAGTAAAGGCAACTTCACCTTTGAATTTCTTCATCTTTGTATATTTGTCATAAATAACGATTTAAATATCCTTTGAGGTTAATATTTTCTGGTTCAGTGGGAAAGTACCGGAAAAAAATTAATATATTCATGCATAATATGAGGCAACAGAGACTGGAGCATCTTATTTGTAGCAAATTTTATTTTCAAAGAACCATAAAAGGTATCCAGTTACTCTTCAGATTAATTTATAAGATCATGCAAGATGTAAACAAGAAGTTCCAAAGGAAAAAAAAAATTGTTCCTGACAATTCTAATATGTGAAGAAAAAGTACACAGAAATGCACACCAGGAACTTTCTACATATGGCTAATACCTGGATCTTTATTCTTGCCTGCTTTTTGTCATTTCAGCACAAGATAAATGTAGTGCAAAGAAGCAAAAATTAATAATCCAAGGGTAAAAAACTTGTTAATGTGGTGCATGATAAAGGAGGGTTTACTATATTAATATTCACAAAGAAATGTTGGAAGTGGGAAGTGATGTTGGATAAAAATATCTATTTTGCAGCACAGATAAAAAGAAATTTCATTGTGGTGATTATATTGCTACTTGCATCATATTCATAGATTTTTCCTTGAGTACCATGCACAGTTCTGAGCTTTTTTTTCCTGCTTTTTTTTTTTTTTTTTTTGCTTTGGAAACAGGTAAAATAAAATGTAAACCTTCCCAGAGGGCATTCAAAATAATATATTAGCTTAGAATTATAATATTTCAAAAATAAGGTAAATGGTACTATTATTCTGAAAAAAATGTTGGGAAGGCAGAATAGGTATTATAAAAGTGTTTCAGAATCAGTGGCACACCATAAAGAAAATAACTTCTGTTTTCACATTGGCTGTAAAGGAAAGGACTGTGACTTTACATCAGAGGGCTTTTATTTATTTGAATATTCAGAGTTGGTTCCCGGTTGCTAAAAATATAAAATCCAAAAGGCCAATCCAGAGTTTATCTATGTATGGTTTCAAAGACCATACAATGCCATTTCTCTAATTTGGACTAAGTCTCAGTGTCCTTATTTAATCCTTGTGTCTAGAGACAATAACATGTAAAAGTCATTGAATCATCTTGAGAGTACACAAACTCTCTACCAGTAAAGCTAGCTTTGTTTAAAGCATAGTTGAAAATTAAATAGCAAAACTCCATACCAAATTAGGTGTTTATATTTATCTTTTATGACAACGGTATTCTCCCTAGTATTCTCCTTAAGAGCCTAGAATGACATGATTCCACGATTCTATTCCACAACTTCCCACTTCTAACACTTTTCTCCATGATGCCCTTTGCAAGCACGCTGCAACAGAAAATGAGATGATAGGTATATGTGGTTTATAAAATACTTTGACTTCAAAGAAAGGTTACTGTAAAAGAATGTGCTGTGGATTCTACAGGGGTTTTGTTAAATAAAGCTATCTATTTTTTAGGTGATGAAAAGTCACCCAGGTCTTAAAAGTGTTTGCTTTGGGTCCTTTATTATGGAATTTTTTCCTTATTTGAGGTATGAAAAGCCTACCTATCCTGTAAGCCAGCGTTAAGGGGGCCACTCAACCAAAGCTGACAGATGCTAACTCTCCGTAAAGCTTTTTTTTGCCCGAGATCAATTTGCCAGAAATTAGACTAACCCAGACATCTGGGAGGTAGAAACTATGAAAATTTAGTACCTTGCTCCCTTCTAAGAAGTCCACATCCTTCTCTTCCATGCCCCAAAATAAGTGTGTGGTTGCCCAGACTGGAAAACCACGGTACATCACGGGAAAGCAAGACAGACCTTCCAACTCTACATCGCATGCTTTTCTTCTCTTCCCACTCACATAATGAGGGTTCCTTTCTTTTACTTTTAAAAAATGTGCCTGTTTCAAATTTGTATTATTTTTTTCAGATGTCTAATTGCAGTTATGTTCTTTCCCTCTTTGGTCTCCTCCCGCATTTCACATACCAGACAAATATTTAAAGGTCTGTAAAACCAGGCGAGGCTCCAAAATATCTCTAACCGAAACTGCCATAGGTGACAGCACAGGGAAAGAAGGCAAAGCTGTAGGACAAGGATTTGAATAAACTGGGTGGAAATGTATTGGAAAATCTGTTAAGTTGCTATAGCCATGGATGAAGTTTCAATGAGGCATAAACATTCAAGTTACTGACAAAACCAACATGTTTCATGATCACTCAAAATAGTCTGCTTGTCGTGGTGCATTGCTTTTTTTCTTTTTTTATTATTAGTAAATTGCTCTCTCTTTTTAAATTTTCTTTCCCCTTTTTAGTATTCAGGAAGTGAAAGCATTTAAGAAAACATTCAAAGTTCTGAGAATACATGTAAGTGAAATATTTAATGTCTGTCATTCATAAAAGTTACATCATTTACATAGGGTTCATTTGTATATAATAAAAATTTCATCATAATGAAAAGTTTTCTGGAAAGTTATATGTTAATTTGTTTAGCATATGCTTTGGATATACAGCTAAATAGGAATCGTTAAAAAATTCTTTCTTCAAATAGTCCCTTTAACAATTAAAAAAACCTCATTCCTAAATATTTGTTTTTCTTTCCACTTGCTCCTTTGTTTGTAATATCATATGTAATTTGAACTGTGCAAAGATTGGATCTTTTCATAGTTCAGGATATATTTGTATACTTCAGTAAATTTGCTCATTGCATAGCAAACATGTAAACTTACAGAGGATCTATAAATTTTACCCTAATAACCTAAAAAGTTGCTGAAATTTTACATGATAGTTTATTCTAAGGTTTATTTTTTTGTTGTAACTAGTGTTTTCTTTTTTTTTAATTTTTAATACATCGGTTGATTGAATACAACAAATAAAAAGTCATGAAAAATTAAAAACCAAGTAAGTCCTTTTATCCTAGACTACCAGAATTTTACCTCATTAGATTGTTTGGATTTTTTTTTTCCTAAGTATCACAAGTTGGAAATGTATCGTGCTGCCTCTTAAGACAGTGTTCAAAAGTAATTTCAACAGTGTGTATTTAACATAAAGTTAACTATGTTTGCATCAAATAAAATGTTTATTCATGAAAGCTATTTATCATACAAGAAACAGCAAAGATAAGTCATCATACAGAGATGTACACTAGAAGTGACAGATGTAAAAGTGCATGCAGAGATTTCTGTTTAAAAAGGAAGAAATAAACAATGATACTAAAATTACTGGGTTTTGATCCTATACTCTCAAAGGAGTGATAGCTTTTCTTTGAATTTACAATTGGAAAATTCCATGAACAGATAGGACTAGTACACATTAGCAAGCAAGTGAAATGGATGTTTTTGGGCTTTATTTTACAATTACTGTGCTTGACAAATGTGTGGGATTTTTTTTCTTTTTTAGCAATAATAATTTTCTTCAAATATGGGGTGGGCATATTACTGCCAGGCTGCTCTGGTTTATACACGGCTTATCTAATTTTGTTTTAAACCACATAACTTTAAGCCTCCATTTGTGTTAGACACCATAAAGAACAGAGTTTTTGTTAACATTCAGTAAATGACATTTAAGTCTCTCTCTCTCTCTCTCTCTCTCTTTTTTTTTTTTTGGCTCAATAGATTTTAAAATGTATGATTATCATAACCTAATATTGTCTTTGTCTTCACTGCAGTGGATTTCCGATCAAACTTTTCCCCTTCTTTTAATACTTTAGGGAATTTTCAAACGTCGGGATGTTTGGCTGTAATGCCCCAAGATTTGTTCTCCCTGAAAAAAATCATAGTGACAATTTATTAACTACAGAGCAACTTGGCTTTTAGGGGTCTGCAATTTCTATTTTGATTTACAAATATCCATTTGTGCTCAATAGACCTAATATTAAATCTTAATCATAATTAAGTTTCTTTTCATGCAATTACTTTATCTGCTTATTATCTTGTTTTTAATTCTAAAAATTGGGCAGAGTCAAATCGGTGGGGCATTACTTTTATTATAAGAAAATATATTTAAAGGTAATTCTAAGTTGAATTACATTGCATATGCAATGGTGTGTACATTTAAAATGAATCAGAAGTTTGGAAATCTGAAAACTATATGTATGTTTGAATATTTAAAAATTTTTTGTATTACCACTTTAATAGCTTTTACATACAGATATTGGAAACACACTAATACAGTTAAACCTTAAATTAAACTGATGGGAAATAAAACTCCTTAGATTCAAAATGGTTTATTCACACAAATTTAATAGGATATATCACAATTGTTTGGTCCATAAATATTTAGGGGAAATAGTTTCTATACAATGCATTTATCAAACAAAGAAACATGGACAATTTTGCTAGACCACTTACTGTACTATAAACACGAAGCTCAATATATAAGATTATTGAATTTATCAACTATATTTGAAAGAGTGCACAACTGCTTTCTATGACATGTTTGTCCCCTCTAACAGGATACACCATAAAAAGAGTTTCGGAAATAAGAGGTAAAACAGTACAAAACTAGTGAGGTGTCAAAAGGGCTTAAAACAGTTAATTTAACAAACAACACATATATCCTGATTTTTCACAAACTTACTTCCAAGTTATATCATAAGGCACATAGGAGAACTGAGTTATAATTAGTCTACTTAATAAAGTAGATCTATAGTACCATACATTGTTCTGTCAAAGAACAAAATTTATAAGTATCAATATTTTACCTGTAAAAGTGTATTAATAAGATCTCAGCCTTACCAAGGTTGTTTGGTCTGGTTAGTGGTAAATGCCCAAAATGTAATAGAAATATGAAAAGTCAAGATTTAAGCTCCATATAAGATGATAACCACACTTGCTAAATATATAATGGCAATCACACCTTTCTTCTGTTACAGTGTTAACTTATCTTCCACCGTCTTTTTTTTTTTAAAAAATAAGCTACTTTCTGTGCTAATTTTCTAAAGACCCTGAGCAAAAGTTACAATAATGCACTTTAATGTGGGCAGTGAACTGTCAATATGTAACCACACATTTATACAGCCAGAAGGACACCTTTAAAATCTATTAAATAGCCACTTTGACCACCGAAGATTTAAGGGGTCCAAAAAGTGGGGAATATGTGCAAAGTTATTCTTAACAATCCACTAAAGCAAGACATAGATCTTGACTTCTTTTTTATTTATTTATTTATTTTTTTTTTAGGAAATCCACAATCTAATTGGTATTTAACTACAACAGAAGCATATAGATGAACATTCACCACTGCCCAGACCATTAAGATTTTAGCTTAAATTAAAAGAAAAAAAATGCTACTGTAAACTAGGAAATATATTCAGATCAGCATCCACAAGGCTTCTGAGTTTATCTACTTTAAGACTAATAACTTTCAATCTGTAATGTCAGAAAAGGGTTTTTTTCTGACAAATATATCAACCTATGCCAAAGTAAAATAAAGCAAAACAAACCAAAGATTTCTTGTTGTGACTATTAGTCTACTAAGGTTTTTTTTTTTTTAAACATTATTCATATAGAATGCCAGATACAATATCATGGTACAGCTGAAGCCAATTAATAGATCTATTAATTAAATTATACTGATTTTTTAACTTCTTAAAAAATTATATTTTGCTTATTTCCATTTTCCCTAGGAAAAAAATTAATTTAGAAAGAATGGTTTTACAACTATCATTTTTAGCTTTAGGTTAAAAGTAGAGAATTTCAAACTCTATATGGAATTTTCATAGATACACAGGGAGTTTAAATATTTTTCAAATGTTGAAAAACAAGTAGCTAACTAACAAGTTTTGCTGGGATGTACATCCCAAAAAGAAGGAAAAGTCATGTCCTTGGAACAGATTTCCCACCTAATTAATCTTTAATATTTGGAGCTGCTATAGATAATGCTTTTGTTTAATCATATTCCTCATTTGTAAGAAAAAAGAATGATCAAAACATTATTTTCAGTTTTAAAATTAAAAAATCAATGTGAAGTTTTCAAAATTCCATAAGTACACATACAATCGCAAGATTTAAAAAATAACTTTAATTCATTATCTGATTCTTTATTAACCTAATCATTTAATTGGGAATATGATTATTTGCCCATCATGATACCACTTTTTTTTTCTTTGAGATTCTGGAAATAAGTAACATACAATTTTAAGAGGCACTTATTAGAATAATTCAAAAACTCCCCTTGCCAACTGAAAGATCTAATTAAAAAAAAAAAAAAAAAAACCCAAGTACACTTTGTAGACAAAAAAACAAAAACAAAAACAAAAAACCACTTTGTAAAGGAGACAATACTGTAAACTCATTTGCCAAGTGGCTGCAGATGCTACACACCAAGCTGTTGTTTTTATTTCCCAAATATCTTGTGGGTCAGAAAAAAAAAAAAAATCTTGTAAATAATAAGAAGAATAAGAATAATAAAAGAAGAGGAAGAATTAAAAAAAAAAACCAATGTTAGAAAAGGTTCGTTAAGGTAGTTTGTGAGGGGCTTCCGGATTCGTGGCTGTCCATGTTAGAGGTCACGGATGTCACTACAGTGATAGTGGGATTGGTCAGGTCTGTTAAAGTGGTCGCAGTGCCGGGTGGAGTAAGAGCGCCGCTGTCTGCTGAGGGCGGGGCCGGAAGCGACGTGCCATCAGCTTTATCAACACCCCCATTCTCCTGCCGCAAAAGGTTCCTTCTGAATTTGGCTCGTGCGTTTTGGAACCAAACCTGCAAACCAATCCCAATTGATTTCTTTACCGATGTTTATTTTAGACTTCTTTTGGTTTTTTCTCTTTCTTTCCTTCTTTTTTCCTTATCTTTTTTTTTTCTTGCTTGCTTTTCTTTCTTTCTTTCTTTCTTTCTTTTTTTTTTTTTTGAATGTATATTTTCTTTTTAAATGTAATTGTTTATTTTTCTTGGGAGAGAAGGGCTTTTTTTTTTTTTGGCTTTCTTTTAGAACAGATTAATTCAGGTAATGCTACAGATATTCTCTCAACTGCATATATCCCCCCAGCATTAACAAGTGCCACTTAGGACAACTGAAGCTTAAGTGGAAATACCATAGAAATGAAGGCACAGAGATAAAGGGGAAAAATATATCCTGATTCCTTAACTGATTATTATCTTTTGAGAATTGGGAGAGGCAGGATCACTGAAAGTTTTGCAAAGTAAGAATGACTCGTATGAAATGAACATCATTGAAACAGATTTCAGGCTATCCTTGAGTCTGACACAGGGTAAGTAGTCTGTGCATAGGAAAAACTCAGGACCACAGACCCCAAGCAACCAGAAACTGATTGGTGGAAATTTAAGTATCTGCAATTTGTCACTGAGAAGTAGAAGAGGATCTCCGGTGACCCACAGCAACCCACTATAATTTCATTAGTTGTATATTCTTACCATTATGAGTTTAGGAAAACAATTGGACAGCACATCTAACTCCCAATGTTTAGTTTTGAAATATGGTTTACTAAAGTGGGAAAATACTTGCTACAGTTGGTTGCTGAGACACCATAGTTGTGGCTATTCAGGAGTTGGAAAAAAAAAAAAGGGACAATCTGCATTTGGAAGGTCATGGCCTGTGAATGAGGCTGCCAAGAGTTTGCTGAAATACAAAAGCACCAGCAGGTCCCCCTTCAACTCTGCACTGAGCCTAGTGTGAATGGAACTCTCTAAAGCCACAACTTGTACGAATAACATCAGCCACATTAGCAAAGCGGTGAGGCAAGCTGTGCTGGCTTTGGTGGCCCCATCTCTCCACCTACAGGGAGAAAGTGGCTGCATTTTAGAAGATCCTGGGAATGTCTTTGGGCACCCTCCAGGAAGCCCCTGCAAAATTTCAGCCTACCCTCTTGGGAGATAACTAAGATAAACTAATGAAAAGCAGTACAGGAAATATCTGTATTGCTCTAGTTTTTACTGGCAAGGGTAAGGGAGAGGTATACACAGCCAATGATGGAGGTTTCTTACCTGCAAAACTCTTTTGGTGAGGCCTGTTTTCTGAGCAAGCTGCTTGAGATCCTTGGCATCCGGATTGTGGTTGATGGCAAAGTAGGATTTCATGGTCCGTAGCTGGTGATGCTTGAAGGAGGTTCGCATGCGCTTGGTCTTCTGCGAGGGTGGGTAAGGCTGCTGATCCCGGTCCAAGTGGTCTGCCTCATTCTCATTACAACCTGTTGCGGTAACAGCGAACAAGCAAGGGCTCAGTGGTAAGTCAGCCATTAGCTGCAGGGGTGGTAGGCTGTCTGATGCTTTGATAATAAAGCAACAGTGGGAAAGCCTGTCAACCCACGTATAAGCAGTATCTAGACCAAACAAAGAGGTTAATTGCCGAAGTCCGCCAAACCAGCCTCTTAATATGGACACAACCAAAGTTTATGTAATAGAAAAATATTAGATAAATTCTCTCTTTTGCATAACAGTTGCTAGAAAGCTTGGGAAGACAAGCCCTAAGTGTGAAAGAAACATCCGAGAGTGAAAAGGAAAAGCTCTAATGTATTTATACATATTGGCACCTGCCCTTCTACACACACACAGTTTTTAAAGATTCCATATTTTGTCTGTTTGTGAAATGAAACATACTGTCTGAAGGCACTGTTCTTTACCATGAGGGATATGCAAACAAGTAATTTCAGCTCTCTCAAATCTGAGAGTTTTTGAGAGCCCATCAAGTAAGGAAGAATCTAAGTCAGTTCCAATTTTTAGCTTTTCCTGATGTTCCTAGAGTCTTCACAATCAGGAAAAAGGTAGAAAGTGGCTGGAAAAAAGGGAGAAGTTACAAAATAAGAATTTGGAGATTTCTTATGTAATCCTAAGAATATTATTTTTGAGGGTTTTTAGCTATAACTGGTTAATATTGGGCAATCCCAGGAAGAAAAGAGTTTTCCCTTGGAGATATTTTAATAAATATTTCTGAAAGAGAATGAGTCCAGACTTCTATTCACTCAGTTCATGCCTGAAGCGCTCCCCACAGCTCACAGTTCAGAGACACTTATGGCGTTTATTTCTCTGCTCAGATCTTGGCCCTTTTTGCTGTGGACGTGTGTGAGTGGGATGGCTGGCCTGGCAGAAAGAGGGTGACATCTCTCTCCTTGCATAGCCCTGCTCAGCATTGAGGGCAAAACAACCCAGCCTTTGAAACCAGCCTGAAAGTCATCATCCCAGGATGCAAAGTTGTACATTTAAAAGGCCATTTCCAATAACCTACTGGCTCTGCAAAGAAAATAGGATTACAAAATGAAAATATTTTGCTAAATATTGACTGATTTCATCTCAACTTAAAGGGCATGGCATTTTTTTTTCCTTTAAACCCTTACTTCAGTTACTTATATGATGCATTTTCAGATCTGATCATCCTACATTTTAGTACACTATAATAGAATATCTAAAATCAACCTGATCATGTCACATGGTGGGAGGCAGATAAAACCTGAATCTGAAGAAAGTAAGGCATTTCTTAATATTGGCTCTTCTGCTTGATAAAAGATTATTTGTCTGCTATGCTCTGGTAAGAATCATGTTCTAAAACTTATTTTTGGTTAAGTCAGCATATATACAGAAACAGTAGTTTTGGTCATCAACGAAGAGGTCATCACATTTCATTACAAAATCCACATAACAAGAAATTATCTCTAATGTAAGAAGACATTATATTAAGCATGAATTAATGTCTCCTTTGTTTATATTTCCATAAAACACTTAAGTAGAGAGCATATTTGCCAAAAGAGCAGATGAGTTCATTGAGGGAAAGATTATATAACTTTCACCTTTGTGTCCCCTAAGTCAAGTACAGGGCCAGGACTCAAAAGCATTTCACCAAGATTTTGAATCTTTGTTCATCAATAAAATTGAGTGACTATTAATGAAAAATCAAGTCAACTCAAAGGGAATCCAAGCTAGATATATACATACAAATGTTGAACATAGACTTCTTAAACTGCATCAGAAGAGTAACATGTACTCAGAGACAAGAGAAAGAATGTACTTTACATTTTACCCTATTTTAGCCCAGTGGGGATATATTGGGTTCAAATATTCTACAGAATTGTACTTTCATATCCTCAAATGGATGAAACAGCATCTTATGACCTACTATAAAACTATACTTATCTCCAGTAAACTGAGATATATTTCACAACCAGATTATAAAGGTGCCCATAACAAAATGGTCAAAGAGGCATACCTCAGTCATTGGAGGCTTCTTCAAATACAATTTCATTCCTATCATATGTGAGTAACATGTAACTTTTCCTGAACAGCACATCAGATTGAATGTTACACTTGGGATAGAAGATTTAAGTTAGTGTTTAAATAATGCCCTTAGCCATTCCCCCACCCCAAGATAATATTTCTTAGAGATGAGTATGATTCCTAACCTCACTATGTACTTCATTAGTCTTTAAAATGAAGTTTATGAAAAATAATTATAGAATAGTCTGATTAAATTGCTTTTCTGAATATGTATTCTATATTCATTATTGCTGATTAAAAACTCAGCAGATAACTTTAGTTCATTAAACACAATAATGGGACTTGTTTCCACATAGACTAACTCTTTTTTTTTTTTAAGATTTTATTTATTTATTTGAGAGAGAGAGAATGAGAGAGAGAGCACATGAGAGGGGGGAGGGTCAGAGGGAGAAGCAGACTCCCTGCCGAGCAGGGAGCCTGATGTGGGACTCCATCCAGGCACTCCAGGATCGTGACCTGAGCTGAAGGCAGTCGCTCAACCAACTGCGCCACCCAGGCACCCAGACTAACTCTTTATTAAACAGATATTACTGTATGGTTTTCCTGTGACAGTGTCATCATATTATTCAACTTAAAAGACCAATCTGTTTCTTCCACAGAGTAACTCAGTGTCTTATCCTAAATTGCTTGTGTTTAACTACAAATGCATTATATAAACTTGCAAGTGATTGTGTTTCCCCAGGGTCTACTTCTAAAGCTATATGTGTTCCCCCTGAATTATGAGATGAAATGGTAACTCTTAAAACTGCTTTAACCATCCACCTCTAAGTACACATCTGGCATTATAAAGTCAGTGAGAAGATCTAAATATTTTATTTTCCAGTCACTTACGAAGTGGTCACCTATACTAAAGTGAGTTTCTGTTCTCAAGGTATATAACCTTCTGAGAACTAACTGATCCCTGGGAGACCACTAGGGGTCAGTGCCAGGCTAATTTAACAACCATCAGGAGCTTTTGAAGTTTGGAATCGAAGAAAACCTACACTTGGGAAGGGAGATTTTTAAAACTAGAAAAAATGTAGTCTCTCCATTAATGCTAAATTACCTAAATAAGAGTTGCCTATCCTAGACTAAATCTTCTTCTCACCCCTGGAGGGCTGCTTTCCAATCCAGCATTCCAAATAAACTATGTCTCTTTCTAAAATATCTGCCTGCTATCTGCACAAGGAGGTATAAACTAAATTAGGAATATTCTCATTAAAAGGTATTTGCCAGATGTCAAGCACTAAGTGACCTTTACCAAGTTTCACATCTTCTCTCGATGTCTTTGAATCCTAAACACATTTTTTGTATATGTTTTTTTAAAATATATTGATGTATAAATTATATTTGTCTAGTGTCAACTTTACTCTTTCTGAGACTAAGTTACATTTAAGCAGAGATGACAATGTAAGATCCAGAGAAAGCTAAAATAATGAGTTAACATGTTTTAAATTTGCTGAAGCTTTTCTTTTGCTAGTTTTGTAACAAACTTGCATTAGATTCATAAACATTTTTTTAATACCGGCGTTGATTTCTGGTCATGTATCCTTAACCCAATTTCTCTAGATTATTTTCATCTGATTTTAAAGAAGCATGTACTATTCATTTGTATCTCTAGGGAAAGTCCGGAAAGGATGGGGTGGATGCTAATTAATAAGCATCCAGTCTGAGGTGGTGTGATGTACAAACACAGGAGAGGGAGGCCTCAGCAACCCTTTCCTCCCGCATGCCCAAAACAGCATCACCTTTTTCAATAAACCTTGCAGTAGCACTAATTTGCAAACTAAAGACCGAAGTGGAGGGAGATTTTCATTCTTTCTTTTTTTTCTTAAGAAATAAATGTGCAAGCTCTAGAAGTAGGGGATACTAAATTCTACTGTTCTTAAAGCTCCCCGGATCTTTCTAACATAAAGTAAGATCCAAGACAAAATCAATTTTAGCTAGTTAGATTAAATAAACAAGCGCAAAAATGAGGATTCCTGCCGCGTGGCTAGAAATCGCCACCCTTCCGCACATTTTCTCGAGGCTGAGGGATTCCCTCTCTCCAAAGGACTCGCTCGTTATGTGGGTCTCGGCCTCTTGGTCTCTGTCCCTGTCTCTCTCTAATTGGGGCATTAGGGCCTTGGTGAGTGGCTCGAGATTCCGATGTCATCTTCTATTAATAAAGAACAATTAGTGCCCTGCCTGTCCTGCTCCGGGGACCTTGCATCAAAGGAGATGAAATGAGCGCGCTGGGCAAAGTGGCCCCGAACCAAAAGCCCTTGCGGAAGCGCAGCAGGGGCGAGCGCGAGGCCGCGACCCGCAGCCGGGGGTTGGCAAAACCCGGGGCTGCGCCCGCGGCCCTAACACAAACCGGTCCGGGTGGGGTCTGTTGCGAGCCAGCCGCTCTTTTCCTTTGGTCTAGCGACCCTGGCATGAACCCTCTAGGGACAAGTGTAGCGGCGCTGAGCTCCCTGGTCCCTAATCTCCGTGGGACGCCGCCCGCCGCGCTGACCGGGTTGGGATTCCTTCTTCTCAGTTAAATCAGCCGAGAACCCCAGGAGGAAGCCGAGCACAAGGCTGGGGAGAGCCCGCTCGTCCAGAGAGCCTTCCCCTAAAAACTCCGGGCTCAGAGCAGGACTTTTAGTTCCAAATGGTTCACACTGGCTGTGTGACCGTGGATAAATCACTTATCCGAATGGATAACGTTCCTTTACCATTGAGCAACAATGGGGTCAGGCACCCTACCCAGCACTGGGAACTGGAAGACGAAAACCAGCAAGATCTGTGTTCTGGGATGTCCATGCTTGGGCTGGTATCTGGGTACTCATGGTATCAGAGCGGGGTTGCCACAGAAAGGTCCCCAAGTTCCCTTCCAATAGAATGGACTCCCTAGCCTGAGTCGCCTGCCTCTGAGATTCCCATCCAGGGCTGGGCCCAGCATGGGAAAGCAGGCCTTAGTTTCCCAAAAGTTAGCCTGGGCTCTCCAGGCCCCTTTTCCCAGTGTCTGGAACTCAAAGAAAGAGCTTCCTTCCTGCTTGGAGGAAGCTATGATCTGCAATGTCCATCTCCATTCTCACCTGGGGGATGGAGAGCTGGGCAGAATACCAACCATGGGAAAGTAGTGAATGAGAGAGATTGATAAATGATAGGTGTCCCCCAAAGCAAGGAAGAAAGTGCGCTCTCAGGCCTGTTGCCTGCATTTTGTTTTTAATTAAGAGAGGAGGCCGGTGGAGGACAGAAGAGCAGCCTGTCACACCACTAAGCCTCCTCAGTGGGCCTGACCTGGAGCTTCTTTCATTTTCCCAAGGGGTCTGGATGTCCGGATGGTTGACCATACAGGGAATGAGCTGGTTGGATGAGTACCCTGACCTACAGAAGGGACAGGCCAGCTCAACTGTGGAGAGTGATTCCTACCCCTACAGCTGCTTTTCACCAAGATCAGGGATTCGGTTTTCAACACTCTTGCCAACTGTGTTCCTGATTAACTCTGGGCTGGTGACCACAGCCTCTGCCCCCTCTAGACAGACTGAAGTTGGGCTCTGAAGTTTTTTTTTTTTTTTTTCAGTATATAGGAAAACCTCCTCCAGGATCTATAATTTGGCTTCCACACAGGAATTGCCCTGGGGCTGTTTTGCTCCAACTGGGAGCCAGAAACTAATGGGCTCATTAACTAATGGGCAACAAGGATTTGGCTCTGCCTGTTTGGGGGAAGTCATGGCGGCCCCAGGGTCATGAATGTGTTTTTTGCCACAACCTAAATAAAGGTCTTTCTCTCCCCTCTCCCTTTCTCCTTCTTTCCCCCTCTCCTCTCCCTCTTTCCCCTCTGAGTGAAAGGGAGTTGTACTGAGGAAAGAGGCATGTTAAGCAAAACCCCCTCTTGCCACCAGATCTTGAATGGGAAAGGAACTCTATGGAATCCTCCTCAGGACAGCCGGAGGCCAGGGCTGGAGGGGGGCGGGGGTGGGGGGGAGTAGTAAGGGCCCACCTGAGTTGTAATTGACGATGTCCACTCCCAGCGCTGGGCTCTTCCGCTTCCGGGGCCGCCCTTTCTGCACCGTGCCAGTGCCATTGAAGTAAGGCAGGGCCAAGCCACCGCTCTTGGCTGCCAGCTCGGTGTAGCTCAGCTGCGGTGGATACTCCCCTTGCAAGAGGGTCTCGAAATGGGCGCGACAGTACACCAGGCTGTCCTTCATGCCAAAATGGTCGCCCGTGGTCAGGGTCTTGTTGCAAGTGGAGCAGGTGAAACAGCTCAGGTGGTAGACAGAGTCTCGGGCACGCATGACCATCTCGGAGGCGGAGATGCCAAGGTGGCAGCGGGCACATCTCTGCACAGAGAACCTTCTGGAAAAAAAAAAAAAAAACAAAACGTCAAGTCAGGGCGCTGGGTGAGGCAAAGGCAGGGCCATCTCCCACCCGTGACACCTGGAGTTTGGTCAGCAGTGGTCCTAGACTGACACCTAGGAGGGCTCTGACAGAAGAGGACACCGGTCCATTTGGTCATTAATTTTACTTGCTTATGACCTGTTCTGGTGGGTGAAGCAGGACAAAGAACCCTTACATTAAAATGAGAAGAATCGGGTAACATCCTTAGTTTCCTTCTCTGGAAAGTTAAGATTTAAAGAAAAAAAAAAAGCCAAAAAAAAAAAAAAAAGAGAGAGAGAGAGAAAGAAAAAGAAAAAGCCCAACAACCAAACAAACCCGCACTAGCTAACTCAAACGCTATGTAAAGAATATTAAATTGCGATGCCAAGGGAAAGGGTTTCATCCGTTACAAAACACTCTATGAAGAGTGGTATTATTATTATATATGGATGTGTGCGTCTGCCTGAAAGCATTCAGACAGACGCTTTTGCAGAAGAAATCTAATTCTTTTTAAATCACCTCTCTCCCTTTGGTTGAGAGCGGAGCTAGGTCACTTGCACATAGTTCTCTTTCCCACTCCAGAAAAAATAACTGGGAAGCATCAAAAAACATCCCTGGAGTTTGCTCGCCAGGCTAGCCGGCAAGGTTCTAACTAGCAGTAAATGGAACTCAGAACTGAGTGGCTTGGGTTTCACCAACGGCGATTATTCCTTTTCATGGTCATTTACGTGGTCTCCCGCCACCCTCGCAAAAACCTAACACCGGGTTCCAGCTGCGCCGGCCACCAGTTCAATTCCAAGGTGCGGGTCTCGCCCAGTTCGTAGTAAACGGAAAAAAAGAAGAAAAAAAAAAAATACCCGCTTTAGTCTCGGTAGACAGACACATATTCATTCACTATTTCGAGATTTCTCCAGATTCCCTCTACTGAACTGTGAAGTGTCGGGAGTGGGGGATAGTCACTGGTAGCTCTTGACCTCGGGTGTTCCTCCCACCCATCCTCACCGCCCTTAGTGGGGGTGGCGCAGCTGGAAGGCGTATGCAGTGGATTTCCCCTGTCTCGGGATTGATAACCGGACCCCGAAGGGGCGAAAGGTGGGGGACAGAGAAGAGGCTCCCGGGCTCGGGCAGGTGGCCCCGCCAGGTGTACCGGGGCGTAAGGGATAGGGGCGGGAATACCTGTAGTAATCCTCCTTGCAGTAAATGCTACCGTCCTTGGCGAAGCAGGTGAGCTCGGACTCGAGGGCCAGCTTACATTCACAGCACTTCAGGCACCTCAGGTGCCACTGTTTGTCCACAGCCAGCAGGTAGTACCTGTCCGAGATCTTGCCCCCGCAGCCGGCGCACAGAGCAGGCTTCTCGGGGCTTAGCGGGGGCATGCCCTGCAAGGCAAGCACAGCGCACCGCTGAGGACGGAGCGCGGCGGGGACGCACAACGCGGAGTTCCCTCCCCGCAGCGCGAGTTTCAGTCGTTCCGGGAACATGGCAAGGGTCAGGGGCCACAGCGCAAAGGCAAACGTCGGGGGAAAGTTAGCGATTTTTCCTTTTGCGACTCCCTCCCTTTCTGCGGTGTCTGCCTGAACCCGGCGTTCGCATTCTCCCGGGACTATTAACCTAAACACAGGCTGGCCATCTCCACCCTCTTCTAAAACCTTAAAGACATGCCGTCCACCTCGAAACTCTTTTAAAAATGCTAGGAGCGCATTGAGTATAGTTTGGCGGATGCTCCCAAACTCGAATATACATGCTAAAAATTGTGGCTTTCAACGCACACAAAATAAAACAACGGAAATTTTTACTGGGGAATGGAAAGGAAATTTGAACGAACACAGATTGTTTTGAAACCATTCCATTTCCCTAAATTCTTATAAGCAGCGTTAAATTAAGAGGAAGGGAGAGATTATGATACCTGTGCTCCTAATTTGGTCGACATTGTTTTGACCAGGGTGTATTTGGCTGTTCTCTCATTTCCAGGGATATTGGTCCTCTCCCCAGTAAGGGTATAAAGTGCCTGTCCCCAGGAAGACTCCGTTGTCTAGTCCCCTCTGCACAGTCCCCCTTTCGCCCTGCATTAACCTACCCAGGAGACCTGTGTCCTGAAAATCTGTTTAGTGCCCAAGTTCAGCTTCCCCCCCGCTTACCCACCGACCAGGCTGAAGATGAGAAAACCTCACCGTGACGAGCCCAGCCCCTCCACGAGATTCGGGTTTGGGTTGCTTTTTGGTTTTAAACAGGACAGCCACAACAAGGAAAAAGAAAAAGAAGAAAGTAACCACCGGTCATTTCCCTCAAGACTAGCAGAAATGGGCTGGACTTCCCCACAAAACTTTGGCGGGCCTGGAAAAGTAAAGTTTCTTCCTTTTACTCAGACCTGGGGCCCTCCACACTATGTTCAGTTTGCAAATGTGGAAACATCCACCAACTCGGCTACTTGGTGTAACCCAAAACACCACTGACCCGCCGGAGCAATCTAAAGGGTTGGTTCGAGCTACAATGCCGGGTGTGATGTCGAAGGATCTACACAGCTCTGTTTGGCTGAAATCATTTCCGGAGACTTCTGTAGTTTTTCCCCTCCGGCTCGTAAGTGGGAAAGGGAAGCACATAGATTATTAATTGGCTTTATTAATTGGACGTGACTTTTATTAATATGAATAGTAGTAACAGTGGTAGTTGATTATATCGTTTAAGGGTAGAAAGTTCTCGCGCGTAGGCTAGGTGCTCCTCCGGGTTTTTATTAGCTTTCCCCCCTACACGTTACACCCGCCCGGCCCGGAAGTTGAACTCAGTCTTGTTGCGCTAGAGGGGCCGGGCCGGGCTGCCGGAGACCCCGAAAATCGCTGGGTTAGGCAGTGCCGCGCTCCGAGCGTCCTGAGAACTGAAGGTGGCCCAGTGGAGTCTGAGTCCTCTCCAAAGATCCCGTCATCACACCCAGAGACTAGAACCACCTGGGCTCCCGCGCATTGCCCGCACCCAGCTCGCCCTCCCTGCCGCTGTCCTCGCCCGGGAGGCGCCCGGAGTCAAGGGGGGCCGGAGACCGGAGTCTGAGGTCCGCAGAAGGGGACATCCCCATCCTCTCACTCTCGGCCCGCCCTGCTCTGCCGGGAACAGCTGCGGCACAGAGTAGCGAGCTCCGGGTCTCGGTTGCGGAGACATTTCAAGTCAGAAAAGGGGTCTTCTTAGCCCGGCAGGCAGTCAGACCGGAGGAAACCCACCCGCCAGCCTGGAACGGACGTCCCTAGGACCCTCCATCCTCCGCTCGGCCGGCCACGGAAGGGAGGCTCGGCTTCGCGGAGCGCGCTGGGGCGCCAGGCTCCTGCCGCCGAGGGGCCCGTCCTTACCGCGTCGCGGCCGTTGAGCTGAGCGCCTTTGGCCAGGCGGGCCTCGGTCTTAGATCTGCGCTCCATCTCCTCCATGATGCCTTGGATGTGGCCTCCGGAGATCCCGTGGAAGAGCATGGCTGGGGGACGGAAAGGACACGAATTGTCTTCTGCTCGGCACCCCACTATTTCCATATACACACGCCCGCGGCTCTCAGCTCATCCGAGTGAAGGAGCAGAAGGGACGGCAGAGAGCTGCGTGTTGGAGGAGCGCAGAGACGCTCGGGGACGGAAGGCAAGAGGAAGAGAGGGAAGAAGAAAGAGGCAGACAGAGTGGAAATTGGTCTGCTTGGAAAAGAAAAAACAAAAAAAGAAAAAGAAGGGGGGAAACCCCAGCGGCTCCCTGAAGGAGATGTGCAGAAAACAAACAAACAGGGGCGGAGGGGAAAGGAGACGAAGAAGGCGAATCTTACTGCTCGGAGAGATCGAGTTACTAATGGGAAACAACTGCAGCGGGGGGAGGAAAACAAAATCTGGTGAAGAAAGAAAATAGTTTTGAACACAAAGAAAGAAAAAGAAGTGCTATTTTCAGCGGTCCCTGGCTGCTTGCAAGTTCCCAGTGCCTGTAGGTTGGGCTGGGGACTGCTCCTGCCGTAGCTGTGTCCAATTTGTTAAGAGACTAAAGCCAGCCCATTTTTGATAATTTAGTAGGAGGAGTTCTCTCCCTGGAGCTGCCGCGGATTTTTATTCAGACAACAAAGACCTGTCATACTCCTCTCAACCCCCTGGTGATGGGCAAGCAGGGACAAACATTACAAAAGGGAGGGGGCTGGAGGGGGGGTTAGTAGGAGGGGGCATTTACTTCCCCCCAACACACACACACACGCGCACACACACACACACACATCCTTCCAAGAGTTCTCAGTAATCATGTTTTAAAGGGGAAAAGGAGCCCTTATTGTCCCTGCCCTGGTGCAGGAGGCAGAAAGCCTATTTGGTCCAAGTTCAAGATCAGACCCCAGCTCAAGGCATACAGGATGTCAGCTCCAAACTTTGGGTTTCCTCCTTGTGGACTTTATGGTCCCTAACTTACAGGGGACCCCAAATACGCAAACGTTAAACAGATATTCTTCCCTTCCCCTCTTCCTCAACTCACTTTTTAAAAGCAGGTCGCCTCACCTCCCCTAGAGGCCCTCCACCCTACCAGGGCCTGGAACATCACCGAACGTGAAAAACAGGCTACAAGAACCTAAGATTCTGAAGTTTACTTTTGGCCAAAACGTTTTGTTTGAAAAACGAATGTAGAGGACAGGGCATGGACTTTTTTTGAGGGGGGGAGGGAGTACTCAACTGAACCATGACACGGGGTGAGGTATTCTCTTACCCAACTCAGGATTGAATGTAAACTGCTGGTGATGGGCACCAGTGGAGGACCCCTGCAGGACTAGTGCGCGCCCTATTGCGTGCTGTTCCCACCGCCCTGGCAGGACAGGGGCTTGTAAAACTGGATGCACCGCACATTTAGGAGGATGTGAAAGGGGCTCCTCGCTGTGGAGGAGGGGAAGGTGAGAGCTGACAAGCAGAACGGCAGACCTGCGCCTCACAAGAGGCGGGATTGTTCTGTCTCCCTCTGTTCCCACTAGCGGTGGCCCCTCCTTGGCCCTATTAAAAAGTGTCTGCAACACTCTGATATTGTCGATTCATTCAAACCACCAGAAGCCCCCTAGGGGCCCGAAGCATAGAGCAGTGGCAGGAACCAACCCAACTTTATAATCAGCGAAAGGAGGAAGCCAGGGCTGCTCCCCCTTTCTTTCCTTCCTCCTGCCTGCCTGCTTCCCACCACTCCCCATCATCGGCTTTCCCAGGAATGGCTCGTGTCTCCACACACCCCGGGTACCTCAGAGGAGTACCCTGTTGGCAGACTTGCTTCCCTCTAGGGGAACGGTGGTCAAATCTGGAAAGATGAAGGGAGAGAGGGAGGAAGAGAAAGAGCAGGGAAGGATGAAGGAAGAATAAAAGGGGAAGGGAAGAAATAAGAGAATGAGAATGAGAGGGAAAGGAAGGAAGGAAGGAAGGAAGGAAGGAAGGAAGGAAGGAAGGAAGGAAGGAAGGAAGGAAGGGAAGGGAAGGCAGACAAGAATGGAGGCAGGAAGGGAACTTGTGCAGCAGTCTGACTTCCTGTCCCAAAGCATCGCCTTCTGAAGCTGCTGGAGTCACCTCTTCCATGAAACCCAAGACTCCACTGCTTCCCCTCGCTCTTTTCTCGGGGTCAAAAATAATGTTATTTGCAGACTGGACGCTGTTACAGTCCTCCGGGTGCCAGAATACAGCTCATAAAACACAATTTCACACAAAAATGAAGCCAATCAAGTGAACTAAGCTGGAGACCTCCCCCCTCACTTTGGCAGCCCTACCGGACAGCAGGGCTGCTATTTACTGTAAGTAATGTAATTAGCCCCTTTGGATGGAAATCAATGAGCTTTTCAAACCCACGTGCACAAACGAAGGGCCCCAAGGAGGGGCTGGGAGCAGCAACCCTTTCAGAGACAGCAGGTCCTCTCACAAAGCGGCAGATTGCCTTCCCACAAGTCAGCAGCTAAATGGACTCAGATCCCGAGGAGGAGGAGGAGGAAGAGAAGGAGGAGGAGAAGAAAGAGGTGGGGTCTCTGAGAAGAATATCAGTCAACCCAGTCAACCCAAGGAAGCTCCAAGGAAAAAGTAAATTTGGGACCTCAATCCAGCGACCTGCTTTGTCTAGTTTCTGGACTAAACTACAGCTCTCACCCCCCACCCCCATTGCCCGCCTACCAAATGGGGGTGTTGGAATTAGGTTTGGCTGTTGTTGAATTTTGGTCCTGCTCAGCAAAAACAACAAAGAACGCAAGAACACAACCCTGTTCTTGCAAGAGATGAACTTTGGAGACTTAATGAAGTGAAAGTTTAACAAACAGCTCCAGGAAAAATAGTTCTGTGAAATCTCCAAGGAAGCCAATCACAGAAGTCCTGTAAACCATCCTTCATCCATTCATCTGTTCCACAAATATTTGTTAATCGTCTATCAGGTACAGGCAGGGCAGAGCACCTTCTACAGTCAGCTTTGGGGTTGGATCCCAGCTATGCCTGCTTTTTAAATAAAACTTAGGTTATAAGTTCCTGCACCCAGTGGGTGTTGTTACTTCCCATAAAGAAGTGTACTGCCAGGAGTCTTCCTTCTCAGCCACGGCAGGAAGTTTGCAGAGCTAGGGGTGGGGCAGGGGGTGCTGCTGGAGTTTGGGAGGTCCTTTTTAGTTCTGCAGAAATTGCTCCCCACCCGCCCAGCTCTGCCTCCTCTCACAGTTCCTTAAAGAGGAGGCCCATGGCGGGGGGTGGGAGGACATGCTCCAAGAACTGGATGTGTGATCTGGGGTATCCTTTTTGTCTTGGAGTCCCAAAAGGTTACCTAAGAGGGCCCCCCCTCACTACCTCTTATTCACAAAGGGAGTAAGCGCTTTAAGGAGAGCATCTTTGTAGCTCTGACTTCTTTCACCTCTGGAGAGGAGGGACTGGAGCCCGGTGTCCCTCAGAATTGCCTGAGAGTGCTCTATAAAAGTTGGAGTGCTCCCTGGTTCATTTCCTGGGGCTCCGCCTCTCTAAATGGGACAGGTGCAAGGGGCTGTCCCCTACCTGCAGCCCATAATAGGATCTCAACTCTCCTCCCTGAACTCAAAGCTCTATTTGGAGTGGTGGGGCAGAACCCTGGCCAGTTGCCACCCTCCTCACAATTGGGCACATGCAGTCCATTCTCTTCTTTGCTCCATGATCCATCCATCCGGCTACTGTTGCCGCTTTCAGAAAAGCGGTTGGCTGGTCGCTAGCGGGGCAGAGCAGTAGGGAGGGGGTTGATGGTTCAGGGTCCTGGAATCTCCAAGAAGGCAGCAAGTTTGTCCCAGGCTCTGGCCCAGAAAAACTCCCAAGAGGACAAGAGAGGGGAAATAAAGGGAAGGCATAGCTTTACCCAGGGAGCAGTAGAGGCTTTAGGATCCAGAGAGGAAAATAACCCTGCAGACCCATCTCTTGAGAGCATTGGCAACTTAAGTTCTCTTTATATCTGACTTTTGGAAGCCAAGATCCTGTATCCCCGGTTTGCCTTTCAAAGAGCAGAGGTCACCTTTCCTCCTGACCCTGTTAAACTGGTTGGGGAGCCCCTTTGGTCTCTGAAAGGTGCAGGTCTTGAAGCAGTGTCTGTCTTTGGGCACTGTCGTGAGCACCCCAGGGCCCGGGGTAGTGGACGTCGTCTGGGGCTGGGAACCGCGCGCTCAGTCCTGGTCTCCCCGGCTGCGCTGGGCAGGAGGTGAGCCGATGGCCCCGAGCCGCCAGGCCTTTCTCTAGTCGGTGCGCATAGGGAATCTCTATGTTCAAACAGATCCACGGGCACTGCCGCACGGGCGCATCTCTGATTCAGTCTTGCTGGGAGGGCCTCCCTCCAGACAGATGGGAGCGGGCCGAGCGGAGCTGGGGGAGCCCTCCTGCACCGAGGGGAGACTCAGGGCCGCGCCCCAGCTGCGCGCCGCTTGCGCCGCAGGGCCCTACCCTTCCGTGCACTCTGACCCACGCACATCCTCTGTACCCGCAAAGCCACCCGACCGTCGTTGCTCCCTTCAAATCTCTGTCCTCCGTGGTCCCTGGCTTCTTCTCCCGGGGGGCGGTTGCCACATCCGAAATCCGAAGCCCCTTTACCTGACATTTGCTGTGCCGTGGGCCCTCAGCCGCCCGAGGAATAAAGGGAGACGTCCCGCACAGCGTCCTCTGAGGTCGCGCGCAGGAACGGCTGCGCGGGGTTCGCATTGAACAAAAAATGCGGGGGAAGCCAGTTTCCAGTTAAGCCCTACACAGGTGAGAAACGGTGTCAGCCCTGCCCCCCACCATCCCTTCCAGCGGGGAGACGCCCCCAGCAGCACCACGGAGGATCGAGGGCGCATCCATCACGCTGCTGACAACTCGCGGCTCAGCTGCACCGTGACCTCCACCTCCCCCTCTCCATCCTCAAAAAAGTCAAAGACATTCAAGGAAAGGCAAAAGGAGGGAAACGCAGCTTTCAGGAATCCTGGCAGGAGACTGAACGAGACTGCATTGAGCCTTCGAAGCGCGATTTAATTTCTAACACACACACACACACACACACACACACACACACACACCCCTTTCTTTCACCCAATGAAGGCGCGTGTGTGCGCGCGCACACACACACACCAATGTGCACACCAGCCCAAGAAAAAGGGCAGAGGAAATGAGAAGGAACCTGGCGTATAACTCACCTGCCTCTAGAGTGGTGCCGTTCAGCATTCTTAGAGCAAAAGGAGTTGATCACGCCGTAATGGTGGCTGCACTGGCAGAAAAAAGCCGCGCGTTAGCGGGGCGTTGCGGCCCGGGGGCCCCGGAGCCTCCTACCACCCCGCTGGGGCGCGTCCGAACTGCTCCTCCCGCCGCGACCTCGGGTCCTGGGCGGCTTCGATTGAAGCCCAGCCTACCTCCGCTAGTGCCCGAGACGCTCCTGGGGTGCCTGGCCTTCCGGGCGCACGCCCAGGCCAGAAAACCGCTCCGACGAGACAACCCCCGTGGGATCTTACCTTGAGGTCCAGACGTTTCTCCCAAGAACCCGGTCCTCGGCGAGGGAG